AGATTTAATATTATTAATAAGCTTTTTAATTTATTTTATAAAATATGATGTATCAGAAGTGATGATACAGCCTATATGTAAAAATAATGCTTGTGCGACCTTTATCAATAGTAAATTTTTGAAGAAAAAAGGTGGTTTGTGTCTCATCAAAATGGTAACTTATTTGGTTAATTTATTTAATTTTCTGACTAATTAAAATTTTACTTCCAATCCATTGAGTGAAGTGCTTGAGAACACCCTTACTCAGTACAGTAATATTATTAAATTTTCGTATATATGTTTATTCTATATGCTTTGCACGATTAGTTTGTACGAAAGAACATTCTTGTCAACCAAAAAACCTTAACAAAAAATATTAAAAACAAACTTCCAGCGCATGGGCAGGCGCATGACTTGTTTAGCTAATACAATCAAATGAATCCCGAAATATATATGCCAAAATTAAACGCGAAATACCACTCTGTAGTTTACTAAAATTTAATTTCGATTAAGCAGAATTTCGAACCTTCTGCATCAAGAATTAGCATAATAGATGAAAAGGACCACCAAAATAAATGAAGAAATTTTTATTAGTATGTTTCTTGATCATGCTTGCAACATATATAACTTTCTTCCATTAAAGAAATGGTTTACGTTAAAAATTTTTTTTTATTACTTTTGAATACATCTATACTTCATTTGATTAAGCGACCTCGGATAGGGTTGATAAATTTAACTTCACTTTATGTAACGATTTTATTACAATATTATGTTCCGTTTAACAATTTTGGACTAATAATAATTTGAATCGATTTGCATTATTTGTTAATGCGATCTGACTTAAAACCATATTATGACTTCGATCCAGAACTAAGCTTCTATGAATGCATTTGAACAATTCGGTTTGAGCTTTATAGTTTCGAACTAGTTTACATATAATTACGCTTTAAACTATGAGAAATACAACTACAGATTTCTTTAAACTGACTTCAGAAACCAATTGGGCACTACAATATTCAATGCAAAATCACATAAAAATGAAACTTAGGTTTAAGCGAGTTCGGGTTCACATAATTTACTTAACGCAGTATTTGCATATCATTTAAAGTATTCACATTATACTAATCATTATGATTCCTTCATTGTAACTTCTTCTAAAAGCTCCTTTCTGAGAATATCTCTATAATTATCCCAAAGCCACCTTAATGCCTCTTTAGCTGTTGGTCTATCGAGATCTTCGTTTGCCATCAATTTCGTTTTTGCATAATCGTTTAATTCTTGAACATCTGCATAGGCCGTCTTAATCAGATATCCGACTGACCAGATATCAACACTTTCATCATGAAAAATCTCGGGAGCATGGTTATCACGTGCCAATTGTGTGTTAGGAGCAGGGACAGTGAATAATATCGATTTGTATCGATCATATATAAAACGATATTTTTAGGTATTTCCAAATTTTAATGCAGTGTAACAATATACATTTGGGAAAATTAAAAGTATAATTTGGGCCGGCAATATAAATTTGGCCAACTTGAACCGTCGATAAGTTTCGGTAAAGTAGACAATCAATAAACACGTCAGAAGAAGAGAAAAATTTCAGTTACTGATCACGTTATATCACGTTATCTGTGACAGTTATACAAAATTTTGCATTCTGATTGGCCAATCATGGGTATATCGATATAAATCGATATTTTTGACCATACCGATCGATATTTTTGCAAAATCAAATCGATATTATTCACCGTCCCTGGTTCTAACCCTCGATAGTATGACGTTTCCGTCATGTGATTCGGATTTTATTTTTAGGTACTAGTTACGATGCACTATGTAAATCAATAGTCTCATATATACTGTCAAAAATAACTATTTTTTACTTTAAAGAAGTTAATGTAAATTAGCAATTTGAAATTTGATAATTTTTTATAATCGTTTCATACAGTTAAACTTCAAATTATTTCTCCTCTGTAAATTACATACTAACTAGATTGAAATTTTGCTCAATTGCTCTATATTTTAAACTAAAAGAGAGATTTTTTTTCAAAAAAAGTTTTTATTTATTTGATTTATTGAAATAATCTATTTGTCATAGGTGGTGACAGCACCCGGATTTTATTTATAGTTATATTTAGGGTTAGAAAGATCATGTACAGTATATAGTAAAATTATGCAATGAATGAGTCGACCCGGTTCTATATCAAAATCCCGAAAGTCAAAATCCTGAAATTTAATTGTCGCGTTGTGTGATGTCGGGGTTCCAGTATAAACACTGTTTATGATTTAGGGTGCTCTCAAGTGCCTCAATCAATAGATCGGTGTATAATTAGTATTGTAAACTCTTTCTAACCTAATCAATAGTGAAAACTCAGTCCTGATACAACAGCGAAATTTGTTTTTGACGAAATTTTTTAGGGTTATTTTCAGTAAAGTATATCTATCAGATCTATAGTATCATTATATTTGAACTTAAGTCGTTAAAGTCGTTTAACCTAATAAAAAGTAATTTTCCTATACTGATTGGGGAATAAATGCTTGGCATTGAAGATCTTTGTCGATCAAATTTTATGACCAAACGGATAAAATTTCACCGGCATAGATTAAGTTTACTAGCTTTATAAATTGACTATATAGTTGGTTAAAGAAAATCGATTTATTTAAAACTGCTTTATTAACAAATGAAAATAGAGTGACCTTCCAAAATAAAAAAAGAGATATATATATTTTTTTCTGTTTATAATCTATTCACTTAACATGCCTTCTTTCTCTATGTATTGCTAAAATTTCTATCTAAATACGTACAAATGTGAACTAAGGAGGTTACAAGTCATGTAAATCCCTGTTCTTTAAGACTATCACTTAATGAACGATATACTAGAGATTGTACCCGTCAAGAATATCTCTACCCGGGTATTATTAATTACCCGGTTATCCGAGTAATTTATTATAACCATATAATAAAAATGTCTACCTGGGTACGGGTACAATCTCTACGATATACGCTATTCAATCTATTGTTGACTCATTCTTATTTAATGGTAATGCCTGGTAACGGCCCTTATTATCCTGACTATTCTTGTTCATTCTGTAATAATTATAACCAGCAATACCAACTATGGAAACAACAAGTCTAATCAAAAAAAAAAAAAAAGAATGCAAAAAATGCAATTAGCAATAATTGATAAAAAAAGAAACTCGATAATTTACAACATAAATATAAAAATATACCCTAAGATATTCAGGGGAGTCAATTTATCTTGATATATGAGAACCGATAACATAATTACAACAACTTCTTTGCTTATTCCAGCAACAGATAATGTCACCGTACTAGTGTTTTTGATTAAAGCGAATTCTGAAATTGTCATACAAAATGCTAAAATTCCACCAAGTAACATTAATCCAAATGTTTGAATGATAGTTTCAAAATTCTTAAAATGCTTTGAATAACCAAATTCTTCAAATGGCCTTTCAAAAATTAAGGAAAGAGTCACCATTGCAACAAACATTACTGGAGATATATAATAAAGAGTAGAAATTGGATGATTCATGCTTTCCTCTTGTTGAAGGAGTATCTGAGTTAGAGACCAACGTAAACCACTAAAAATTGCAGCACCTAATACTAACAAAAAACCTGTAATATTAAGTGCTGTTTCTCCAAATACTGTCATAATCACTCCAATACTTATAACAGATATTATAGCAACTAGAAGAACACGGGGATTCTCTAATCCAAACATGAAAGCAAAAATGAGTACCCATATGGGTGTCGAAGATTTCACCTTTATATAAAGATAATTTAAATTATAAATATATATAAAAAGTTAATCGAATTATAAATACGTACCATGGTATAGAAACTCAAGGTAATATACATAAGTGATGCATTAGCCATACATATTTCAAGTGCAGCGGCAATAGCGCAAGGAACCTAAAAAGAAATATATTTCAGGATTTCAGGATCAAAAAAAAAAATATATATATATATATATAAGGTTATGATGGTTTAACTTACTACTTTCACAAAATAACTGTTTATTGAGACAGATTTTCCTTCCGGTTTCTTATATATACATGAAAAACTTCCACTCCTTAATATTGATGTTATCAAAAAATGTGATCCAGTGTGCATTGCGCTCACAAATAAGGGTATATCTAAATCGAATTTATCTTTTCCAACTAAAGCCTTATTATAAAATGATAAAGCTGTAGAAAAAAAATACCAAGAAATTATATAGGACATATTACGAACAACATTTTGCCAAGTAAGGGTTTGATTTTTTGGGGTTATTTCTGATAAAAAGTTTTGCACAACATTTGGTGAACGATCTATCCCCGTTGTAGAGTTGTCAGGAAGATTTATTATGAGTGTTGAACTGTTCGGAAGTATTGGACGCGAAGATTTCGACAAGCGTTCAACACTTGTACTCTGTGATTTTGGATTTTCACCATCTTTCACTGAAGTTAAATGTCGAATCGGTTGTAGAAGAATAGAATCACCGCTCTCCATTTCTAGTTTAAAACGCTTTTTTTATATATATATATATATATAAATATAAATATAGAAAAGATGTAGATTAATAGAATTTTAATATAAAATTAAGTGCGTACACGTGATGATACAATATCCGCAGTGTAACTTAATAATCCACTTGTCTTTAGCGTTAATTAAAAACGCATAGAGTATATTAATATATATATTATAGCTTTATTTACGATGATATTTATTTATATTTGAAAGTCTGAATGAATATTCAGGTAAAATAGAATATAACAAAATGCAATAACATATACATAAAAAAAATGAAATATAATAAATCCAACATAGAATAACATAACGCGCAGTCTGCGCAATAAAGAGAAGAAATAAAAGAAAAAAAAAAACAAAAATTTAATGGATAAAAAATAATTACATACAAAGGTAACTAACTATAATATATCGAGCCGAAGATGAATGACTGTAAAATTAAGATGACCTATTAATTAACCTTTCATGTGCCTCAGTTAATTGTTGCTCCAACAACCTAATTCTGTTATCTTTATCAATGTTCTTTTCTTCTAAGCCCTTCTTCTCACTCTCCAAAACCGCAATTCGAGTTTGAAGTTCACTATTTTCAACTTTGAGCACATTAACCTGTTTTTCTAAAGAATCCATTTTCATAACTTTGCGAAGACGACTTCTTCTAGCAGCGTCAGTATTTTTGGCGCGCTTGATGGCCAACTCTTCGGAGACAGTTTCAGGATCTTTCTCAACATCATTTTCAGAACGTTTACGACTTCGGCCACTTGCAGGCTTGGTTTGAGACGGTTTAGAAGGTACTATTACTGCAGGAGGAGATTTTGTAGAACTTAAAGGAGACATCCTAGTATTCCGAGTATTTATGAGACTGTTAACGAATGATGTAGTTCCATCGGAAACAATGTTTGGTGTATTGGTAACATCAGAACCCCAAGGAATGTTCAAGGCAGATGTTAAGCCTGGTTGACGAATAGACAATGAAAGTGGATCTACAGGAATTGTAACCGAAGGCACAATAGAAGCCAAATGCAATTTTGGATTATTCCCGTCAGAAAGTTCAGGGAAAAAGCCTATAGCTGGCTCGAGTATTGGACTTGTTGAGAAAGTTGGATGACCAAATAGAGGTGAATCAAATTCACGAGACGCGATGGTGCTATCGAAAGGTAGAGAAGGAGTGGGAATTGAAGAGGACAAAGCAGGCGAAACATCATAACTCGTGGTAGAAGTTTCAGAAGGAAATAATAATCCATCTTCTCCCTCGGATATAAATTGCTCGAGATCATTTGCAAGCCATTCATCAGGGTCAAATAAGGTGACGTCGTTCATTCCACCAGATTTCAAGGAGGATGGCTCGTGTGTAATAGCATCCATATAATGGCTGATATCTGGAAAAGTGCTGGACATCATGCCAACTTTATTAGAATCGTTACCAAAGGATAGCTTTATTTGTTCCATGCTGGATGTGACTTTTTTATTGGTAATTTTTGGTGTTGCTACCATATTTGCTTAAATTTAGATTATTTAATGTTAATATCAATGTAAATAAGAAAACCGTAATTTGTGTTTTGTGTAAAAGAAAAATTAACTTATCCTCCTTTAAAAAGAAAAAAAAAGAAAAAAAAAGAGACTTATACTATTATATTTGGAGGAATAAAAAAAACGGTTTATTTGGTTTATCGAAAAGGTATTATGCGAGTTTGAGTATCGCGTTGTTGGAACACATTTTGAAGTTTGTAAAGATGTATTAGAGCCATTTTTGTGGCAGGCCGTCTGCAGAAAGATTAAGTAACGACAACTGAAAAAATATCAAAGCAAAAGAGCTTTGTGAAAACAAACTTAGATGGTAAGGAAAGCCATCTTGGCAATAAAAACAAAAAGCAAAAAAATATATATATTGTTAAAAAGAAAAAAGAAAATATTTAATTAAAAGTATAAAGTAAAAATACGGTTTGTATAGTGACAATACAGTTTAAAAAGAACAAAATTTTGTATATTTAATATGAACAACACGAAAACTGTTTTAAGACTTCTGCAAAGACAATTTTTTTTTTTTTTCGATTTTTGGGGGTGAATGATTTTTGATTTTTAATCTACTATTCATAGTTATATATATTCAAGATGACTATTGGTTGCCCCATTAAAATTATTTGTGTAATAATTCGGAGTGCTTCCCCGGTTGTACTGTATCACTTTGGAAAATTTTAATAGTGAATCGCATTTTTTTGTGCTACAAAATCTCTTAAGAAGGAATTATTTTCGGTAAAATATTATGCGATAACAACTTTTAATTGTCTCTTGTCATATGCGGCAACACAAAAAGTAAACCGCGCCATGCACTGCATTTAACAGACCATTTTCATACTAAATATAGTGATCTGTAAAATGCTTATTTCTATGTACACTAAGCCTTAGTTAAATATTGGAACGAGATTCTTTACGTAAAACGGTAACGATATATATATTTTTTTTTTTTACATCGATCATTATCTGTTTTAAATTTTACATACCGATACTGGATTTTCTATTAACAAAATTACAATCGGGATAATCAGTTAATACGTATATATTTGTTTTTATCACAAAAAAAAAGTTTTTTGTAGTCAGAATTACTTTTTTTAAAGTTAGATCCAAAATTCAAAATCTAATTTCTTATCAACTAGACCTCATTATAGTCACTCTTTGATATTTTTTAGTTCTAAAATATTATAAATAAATTTAATTTATATATATAGTTATAAATTTTTATAATAATTATCAAATTTTAGGTTTTTAATTTGAATTTACAGTAAGTATTAACCGGTAGTGATTCGATCCGTAATCCGACCATCTGAATTGATCCTTAAATATATATAAATTTAAATATCCAGATCAGAGATTTTTATTCGGATTTGTCAAAGAACTTAAATAACGGACATAAGGGTGTTCTCAAAGCTAGCTTTATATCTAATCTGACACGGATTCAATCCGGATTTAATAGAATCCGGATGGCCTGTCAAAGATAGGATCGAATCCCTACTAACCGGTGGTAATTATCACCGCTCTTATTAAAAGGTTTAAACATTTTTTTTTTTTTATCAAACTGCATATTGATGTATTTTATTAAAAAATTTTTTATTATATGTTATACTGTATATACAAATATTATCTTTTAAACTGTAAATTTTTAGCATACAAATTTGTATACTAAAATAATTTTGAAACTTTTAAGCTATTTTTTCTTTTTAGAATTGTTTTTAAAATTGGCTCAAAGTTAATTATAAAGAATTTGATTAACTTTAATATTATATTATTAAAAAAATCTTAATATTATACTGTAACTAATTATTTTAAAGTTACTATATTATAGTTTTAATAACAATAACAAGATTTATAACTTTTTATTGTCCAAGGACTATGTTTACTCCAAATCATGCAATGTTTATTGACACCATTTAATCAATTTATCATAGTACATAATTCTGCATATTTCTCAAAATAACATATATAATACTGTATTATGGAGATTTAATATATTTATATATATTGGTTTAGGCCACAGATAAAAAACTAGGTGTCTATTAGGCACTCTTAGTTAGTCTGAGTTCTTATTCTTAGCATTAGATTTATACAATAAAATTTTTTCTGATTTTGTAAGAAATTTTGATTAAATTTAATAAAGATAAGAGCAAGGTCTCACTATTAACATTAAAAAAAATATATATTTATATATAAAAATATATAATTTTTAGATGATAAGACAACTCACCAAAGATATGACAATAGTAATTTGACAATTATTTAATTTTAAATAAATTTATCAAGGTGATTTATTCAATATATTATATAAGTTATATATATATATTTTTTTTTTGGCGATCATGTCACAATTTTATTTTTAATATAGGCTTTATATTTTCAAAAACAAAAAATGTGATTTCTATTTATAGCTATGCTATTTCTCAAACTAAAGTGTAGCTCACCCAGTTACCCATTGGTATCTATGTGCGACCTGCCAAAGTAGAATTAGCTTCTCTGCTTCTTCTTTATCTATCTCAGATAACGAATCCACAGTTCATTAGCCAGGATCTACAGCCTGTTATGATCTATTTTTAATTTGTATTCCACCTGGACCAGTTACCGGTCCAAACCCAGTTATTTATCTCATCTATTACTATATCTAGTCTATGTTTATAATTGTTCCACCAGGTTGATTTATTCCTTTTTCTCTTATTTTCATCTATTAGGGGTGGATCTTCTAAACCAATTCCTTGTTTCCTTCTTAATTTGGGATCTATTAAAGCAGATTACTTTTTCTTTTTTTTTCTAAAGTCTATCTGCAATTTCTTCTCCCATGATACTACTTCATTACATCTCTAGTGCCAAATTGTTTCTTGGAAGTAAGTATGCCACTTGTCCCACTAATCAAAAATTATTGTTTCAGAGGTCCGTCTTAAAACACCAATTGATCTAAATGTTATTGCTAGATCTGCTTCGATTAGCTCTCTCGCCATTTCTCTTCTTCTTTGTAATTGCGCTGTTCTTCCTTCACCTAGAAAAACTTGGTAGAGCATGTTTAGAGGAAGCTTCTTCTTTGTATACATGTCTAAGCTGGTCCAAATTTTCTTTGCAATTGCTTGCTCTTTGTCGTGCCACTTGTCTTCATCGACTTCACAAATAGCTAGATGATCAAAATCTTCTTCTTTTTTACATTTCCTACAAAGAGCTGATGGGTATAGATCTTCTCGATTTCTTTTACGAGTATATAGCGTCAGGATCAATCCATTTAAACTTTTAAGTCTGAAGCTCCATTTCTTGTTTGTTTTGAAGGACCTTCCTTTTTCTTTTTTTTCCTTTTTCCACAGACTTTTAAAGATTTTCTAATCCTGTTTTGTAGGTCTTTTTGAATGGATTGTGTCCTTGGAGTTGTTTGTAAATAACTATTCGGCCTTGTGGAAGTATGTGTAAATTTCTTAAGGAATCTACGAATTGAAGTTTCAATTGCTGTATTTTTCCACATTGGTTTAAATATTGTTCACTGGGATACATTTGTATTAATTCTTGTTGTTTCGGCTTCTTTTGTATTTTTTTTTGCTGCTCTATCTGCTAGATCATTTAGTATATTACCCATATATGCTTTAACTTTAAAAAGATGTATATCCAAGTTCTTGGTATTTAGATTTTTGGCAATAGCTCCTATTATGTTTAGGTTTTTGATCTTGCACCACAATCTTGTACTATTAGTTTTTTGAATCCTCTCTATTGCTTGGATTGCTGCTTGGCTATCAGTAAAGATGTTTATCTTGGAGTTGCTTGGTAAAATTAGTATCGCACCTAGAATTGCTATAAGTTCCGATCTAGTTGAAGAAAACCACCCTTGAATTTTACCTTTAATTTCTTTTACTATATTACCCTTGTTATCTATCTGAATTATCTCATATCCTGCATAATGTTCTTCTATACCCCCCTCCAAGTGAGCCATCTGTATAAAAAGTTAATTCTCTAAAAACCTGATTTTCTTTTACTGCTTGTATTAGTTCTTGTTGCTTGGTACCATTTTCTATTATATTTTTAACAAGTTGCACTTCCCAGTTTTCGATAGGAATTTGATGCACTATTTCTGTTTCATCTTCCTTTTCACTGGATTTTTCTGAAACTACTAGACCTTTGAGAAACTTGAAGCTAGTGGACACAGCCCAACCTCCCTCTTTTTTCCATTTAATCCAAGAGCTTATATCTTCTAATTCCCTTCTTTCTGTCTCTATAATATTAGAAGTAGAAACTATTTCTGATTTGGAAGAGACAGTGAAGTTCTTATTTTCTTTGTTTCTTCTGCCCATTCGGTTACTTGAATTTTGTTTTCTGAGTGCTTTTCTTGAACTCTTCTAACAAAACGAGAGTTGCTTTCTTTTTTCGTTCCTATTACCCATTCTTTTTTTGATCTCTTATGTGATAGTTTTCTTTTTTTTGTTTGTATTTGATTCTCATTTGTTTTATTTGCTTGTCTCAAAGATTCTTTAATTTTACGGGAGGTTTTGTCCTGAAGTACTGTATCTTCTAATCTCTGGAACCAGAGTGGTACTCTGCCTCTTGTTGTTAGGTTTTGCACTCTACGAATCTGTTGCCAAGTGAGCATAAAGTTGTTGTGCCTTGAGATTATTTGTTCTAGGTACCATAGATTTAAGTTTTTCAGAGTGAAACTACTTTTATCTAAGTTCTTTTTGCTAAATAGCCCTCTGAGTTCGTTTGTTGTACCTTTTTTCGGGGCTATGTTCTAGTTTTCTTTCCAAATAGGGTTTTTAATACTGATTCCAATTTCTTTTGATGCTAATAGTATGCCTGTATTAAGGTTGTTTTTCCATTTATAACGTTTCAAATCTTCTTGTTCAAGTAACCATACTGGCTTTGTAGATCTTAATGTGAGCTGAGCATCTTTCAAATGCAATCTCGTTAGATCTCCTACTAAATTTGGATTATTAATTCTAACTACCCATTCTGAGATCATGTGTTCAGTGTGGTGTTGC